TTTGCTGGGCGGCGAATCCGCGATCACTAATTATTCACAGAAAGCGATCGCGGTTTCTTTGCGTATACACTTGTCGCGAACGCGTATCTAGAAGGAATGTAACACCTCGGGACTAATCACACGCGACGGGGAAGGAAACACGAAAAATGTGCGATCGCACCAAGTTGCTATTTGCACTGGCTCACTCCTTGTAAATTGGTCCGACGGTACGAATTTTAGTCAACGGAAATCGCCGATGTATCAATTTATTAAGCAATGAAGAAGGCAACTTCACTCTCGGTAACCGAGCATCGACGGCGAATCCGCGATCACTAATTATTCAGAGAGAGCGATCGCGGTTTCTTCCCGTACGTACTTGTCGCAAACGCGTATCTAGAATTCTAGAAGGAATAAGACGACACGCGGGGCGCGGGTATAACCGACTCGGTCGACCGTCGCCGCGTGAATGATCTTGCGTACGTTGTAAACACCTCGGGCGAGCGCGGATTCCACGAAATGACGTAGCGCCGCCGTAAACAAAAACTCGGCCGAAAACCGAGCACGGATTCCAAGAAATGACGTAGCACCGCGTCACCTCGGTTGAAAAACAATCTGTACTCTATTGTGTCGAGTTACTCGTCGCGCTTCGGCCGAGCGTAACGGACGTGTACCGCGCGTTCTCGCGTCGCTCCTCGTAGCGCGATCAGTCTCGTACGAAGGCTATTAACATTTATCAGTGGTATTTAAATAATTGTCGCGATCCGCAATCGTTGATATCCAACGTTTGTACGTAGAAAAGTGCGCGTATAACAAAGTTTCCATTGCCGTGTCGCGTTCGGGAGTGCCGTTTAAATAAGCGAACTAAAGACTTTTGTAAGCCCATTTCAACAAGTGTTCTTTGAATGTCCGTTCCTGTCGGTGGCCACACTTCTGAGACTTGACAGTATTTGGGGTATATAATACTCGGTCGACTCGAAGTGGGGGCGAACTTGACGGAACGAAATACATAACTTTGAAATGTGCTTTGCAAACGGGTGTGTAAAATCGCGCGAACGATCTTTGTGTTTTCGCGAGTGTGCCCAGAGGACAGCCTTAAGCCCGTGTCCCACTACGTATTGCGGACGCGGATTGGATTGGGATTACGGATTGCGGATCGAAATTCAGCCAATCACAGCGATGCAACTTGGGATCCGGATTGCAGATCGCAGGATAGACGACTGTCTATTTGTACGATCCGTAATCCAATCCGCGTCCGCAATACGTAGTGTGACACGGGCTTTAAGCCTGTGTCACACTACGTATTGCGGATCGCGGATCGGATTGAAATTGCGGATCGCGGATCACATTTCAGCCAATCAGACGAGGCGGCCTTGAACCCGATTGGTTGAATTGCGATCCGTGATCCGCAATCTCAATCCGATCCGCGATCCGCAATATGTAGTGTGACACGGGCTTAAGTGGAGGAGCAGGCCTTGGAGAGGCATCGGGCGCCGGCGGAGCAACTTTAAGGTAAATGTTATTTTGCATTTTGTGTAAAATTCATTTTCTTCCAGTTCATTTTTCAGTCCTTTTATTTCGTAAGTCTACAATTACGAAATGATAATTAGAGAACACGAAACAATTTTGAAATTTTAATAAGAAATCTATTCTTGCGAAGATCTTTTGCGGGAAATCTTTTGCGTATCAATCGTTCAAATGTCCAACCAAATAAAACGTTTAACACGCATAAGACTCACTTGTATTTCAGTGTATTAATTTTCTTCGGCACTGTTTTAATAAATTCTGTATTTGTGTGTTACAGAACCAGCATAGCTCACTCCGCTGCTGCGCATCGGGCGGTAAGCCGGAAACTTTTTTATTAAGGCAACGTATCTACATCCTGTAGATCGTAGATTAGTATATCTCGTAGATGCATTGCCTAAAAATGGATAGATAACAAATTTTATGTTTATTTTAATATATTTCATCTATTGAAGTGATCGCGATTTTCATTGTCGAGGGTTGGATGCCCCGTTTGGGCACATTACATATTTTCGCGCAAAATATGACGAATATTATTGGTGTATTCGTCGAGCCGATATCTTGTAGCCTATCCATTTTTCATTAACAAGTTTATATATAAAGGAAAATAATATGACGTGAGACTCCAACATTTTGTCGAGAAACGCCGAAACTTTGTATTATTTTTATACATTATTTGAGATTTTTATACATTATTATGGATTAACTAGATTAACTAGAATATTCAATTGTCCATCTGTCTATCGTACGAAAAGTTTCTTTCCTCTGGGTCTCACGTCATTTATTCTGTATTCTGTATGTGTATCCCACGATACACTTTCAAGATGCGTCTCGCATGAATACGCGCATTACACGCATCTTCGTATTTTCGCGGTCGGCCTTCGCGATTAGTTTCCAAACAATTTTCAAGAAATTATTAACTGTTCAATTTCATCCACTTTATCAATTTTAATTAGCCGCGGAATGTAATTAAAATAAATATCACGCGAAGTAAATTGTTTTTTTTATCTACATATATACTTGAATTTAAAGATTGAGCCACGAGGAGGCAGTCATTATCCATTCTCGAATAAATAACGGAAGTAAAAATATATTCGGTGAGTTTTGTGCAGCAAATTTTTTGACTTAATTTTCTTCTTTAATTAACTTCTCGTGGTCGCGCATTTCGATACGATCGACGCTCGCACATAGTTCGAACCGTACGAAATATCTGTCGGCGACGATAATAAACCGACTATGGAAGGAGTTTTCTCCCTTCCTGATCTCTGGTCAAAATGACCAGACTGTATGGCCAGGAACAACGAATGGTAGGTCCAATCTGGCCCAACGAAGGAGTACGACGGGATAAGTGGTCAATATTGGCCACTTTGATGAAGTATGTAAGTGATTTCTTCTTATCTGTCAAAATTCGGGCGGGCTATATTCTTATCGTCTTTATTCTCGCATAAGATTAAAAAGATCCCTATTAAATCCCAGTCGCGCGCGTATAATCCCAAATCGGAAACCTCTTATAAATCGCGTCGCGGTTTTAACGAAAGACTTGTAGGTTTATTAGCAAAACGCGGAATACAGGTAGGGAGGGACAGGAGGACGTAACTCGATAATTGAGAAGATAAAATTATTTCTCCTTTTTAACTAAAATAATTAACAAATTTTCAAATCAATTAAAACTATTGCTTATTCGCTATTTATTATTGAAATAAAATTATCGAGTCAATAGTCGCGAGAAACTAAGGCCTGGCTTCGCCAACGTCGCTCAACTGTAACCTTAGTTTAATTCGTTCTTTGTCTCTTTCCAACTGTTACTTTAGGAAAGAGACAAACGCGAATTAAACCAAGATTAAAGTTAAAGAAACAAATCTGGACGACATGTACCATACGAGCAATTTGTACGAGACAGTTCTCGAAGACGCCCAGAGAGGGCGCTGGCGTCCACATTTCGGAGGCGTGTGGAGTACTGCGTATCGCAATTAATCCGCGCTCGATTGCCGCAAGCCGCCGTTGCACCGCGCCGATATAATATGCATTTTCATCGTACAACACGCACGAATAATAGCGGTAAGTCGTTTCACATATAAATTGGAGGATATATCGCACGCGGGTACTTAAATGCACCGCGTAAGAGTAAGAAAAAGATCGACGGCGAGAAATCTAGATAGAGGCGCGGATAAGAGGCCATGTTCCCCCCGGGAGCCTCGCGGCACTCCGTCCGCGCGAATTCCGACGAGAGACGATCGGACGGGGAATCTGCCCCTCGCCGAAAATCCCCGGTTCGCGGATCCGCGGCTCCGCGATCCTCGCGCGAAAATCGATCGTCGGCATCAAAGACGCGGGCCCGCCACTCGCAATCAGCTCTATTCTGCGCGGCTCGCCCCCCCTCCCCCCTTTCCTTCCCCCCCCGGAAGGAGAGAGCCTCTACCTGTTCCGTGTCGTTCGGCAACGACACGCACCCCAGGCGAGCGGCGAAAGGGGTGAGGGTGAGGGAGAGCAGCGGCGAGCAGCGGTTGGCTGTCGCTCTCTGCAAGGATCTCGCTGCAGAAAAATTACCGGTTATTGCCGTCGCGACACGGCACGAAGGTCCTTCGCAGGGGTGCTTGGGGGGGCAAAGGGAGGGGGGGGGGGGAGTGAATCGACGAGGCTCGCTCGCGCGCGCGCGAGCCTCCGTGCCGCGCCGGCCGGAAGGGATACGAGCGTGAGAGAGCTTTCCCTGGGGCCACGATAATTACCCCCAATGGTCAGCGGGAAAGCGGGTCCCACCGCCTTTGGACACGTTGCGTACCGCGTGTCCCCGGTATATATATATTCTCCCGGTCGTCGCATTAAGCCGCGCGGATTAACGGATACTCTCGATGCGGCCGATGAGGCCCGCGCTGCTACGTTTCCCACCCGCCGGCCGCGCGCGTGATTTCCTCCGCAGATCCGATTTGAGCGCGGGAGAACGCGGTCTTTCGTCGGTTTCAATCGAATTCCAGCCTCCCCAACGGCTCCCGTTCGTCCGCCGTTTCTCGATTAGCGCAGCGGCGACCTGACGCGCCACTCGCGCGGCCACCGACGGGGATAATTGAACGCGCGAACGGATCGAGTGTCCCCTAGCGCCGGTCTACAATACGTGGAGTAAGCGTGGAGTAAGGAGTAAGAGAGAGCCCCAACTTCTAGC